TAACAAAAGAAAACGTAACTGTTGTTGTTATGCTTTGTCAAATCAGAGCTGATTCATAGCTGACTCTCCAGTGGGTTCTCAGAGGTAGGAAAGCAGACTTTGGACATGTTGTCAGGAGAAGGCCAGTCCCTAGAGAAGAACATCAGGCTTGGAAGGGTAGAAGGTTGGCTCAAGAAAGGAAGGGCCTCCATGATATGGACTGGCACAGTGTCTGTGGCAATGGGGTCAGGTGACTCAAAACTTTAAAAGGTTTACAGGGCTATTGTTCATAGGGTCACTCTGACTTGGAGTCGACTTGACAGCACATAACAACAATAAACCACACAGGAAGAAACTGTCCATATTTCTCCCACAAAACTTAACTAGATACGTAAATAAAATTAAGAAGAAATATATAGAATAGCAAAATGTGGTCAGAGGAAAATTGATATTCCCAGAAAACAAGTGCTACACAAATTATAAAAGTTTGGTTGTAGATTCAGTCTGAAGCTAAAAAAATGGAGAAATAAAGAGCCAGTTTGTTACTTTATCTGATACAAAGATATAAGAGACAGTTTTTCTATGAGTTCTCAGAAACAGTAAAATTATGGTTGTCAAAATACAACCATAAAATAAAAAAGCGTGATGCATTTAAATGAATTTTTAAAATGGGTATCAGGCAAAGTGAAGTGGTGGTGGTGGTGTTGTTGATTGCTGTCGAGTAGAGTACAACTCATAGTAACTCTATGAACAAAAGGCTTGAAACCCTTCTATAAATATCGACATTTATCAAAGTTCATAGAGTTTCCAGAGGCATGAACTTATATTCACCAAAAGGATTTCACTGGAAGGGAAGCTAAAGGAGCCAGGAACTATAAAATCTCAGAGCACAGTTCCTGTGTAGCTGGATCTGATCCAGGGATAAGATGTAAAATATCACAACACCCCTCACAACAAACCATCAATGAATTGCTAGGGAACTGATGTTGCAGACAATTTAATTTTAAGTGTTTCGCACATCTTTTTCATGATGTTGGTTCCATGATTTAGAGAATTAAGAGAGTGAGCTTTCGTGGCCTAGTGGCAAGAAGCTGTGTTGCATTCACAAAGGCACGCAGTTTGAGGCTACAAGGTCCTTCTTGGGAGAAGGATGGGCAATCTCTTCCCATGTGATTAACTGTCTCTGAAAACCCACTTGAAGGTCAGCTATGGGTCAGTTCTGACTCTATGCTTCACAACAACAAAAGCCTTAATGGCACTGGGCAACAAAAAAAGGAAGTATTTATCACCACCAATTGAAGAAGGCCCTTGCTTAATATCTATCTCATTCATACTTTGATATATCTATGAGGGCCATATGATTTATGAAGATATGTTATTAATCTTAGAAACTAAGTCATCTTTAATATTACATTATTATATCAAATAGTGACATGAAAAGCATTGGCCTTCGAATGTATACTGAACTCCCAATTAGCAAATTACTTACAACGTGTTGTTAAGTAGGTTATATGAAACCCTTGATCACTAATCTCAGTGTCAGAATGGAAATGGAGTCTGGCAAAAGGACCTGTAGTCTGGAGCGGTGGGGCTGAAAGAGTGGTACAGAATTTTCCAAGAACAGGGTCATTTCGCATAGGACCATCTCGAATCTAAAACATAAAGATGTATCATTTAAATACAAAATTGTAAGATTTCAACAAATCAAATCTTTGTTAATCTTGGAACAACACATCATTAAAACTGAGTTGTTATCCTATTTTATCTAACACTCCTGTCAGCATGAGGCTGGGGTTTAGTATAGTGTTTTCTTGTCTATCTGCCCTCCACGATGTTTTATTGAAATTATACACACTTAGGGAAAAAGAACCTTAGTAACATGGTACACGTTGTGCTGATAACCAAAAGATCAGCGATTTGAATCCACTAGCTGCTCTAGGGGAGAAAGATGAGCAGTCTCTTCGCATAAAACTTATAACCTCAGAAATCAGATAGTTACTTTGAATCACAATCAGGTTGACGGCAATGGGATTCTGAGTGATAGTGCAGTGGTGAAACACTTGGCTGCTAACCAAACTTTTGGTGGTTCAAACTCACGAGACACTCTCCAGGAGAATGATACAGCAGTCAGCTTCTGTCAAGATTTCCAGTCTTGGAAACCCTGCAGGGCAGTTCTGATCTGTCCTATAGAATCATCATACGTTGGCACTGACAACCACAGTGGTTTCCATCTACTATACAACAATCATGTTAACCTCTTTATAATTGCAAATTCAGTATCTTTTAGAACACCAATGAGTCAGCGATCGAAACAGTATTTCAAGTTAATCTTATCCAAATTTTCTACTGAAAGCCACCTCATACTGTAACATGTAACTTAAATCCTATACTTAACTACTCCCTTGAAATATTATCACTTGTCAAATGAGAGCTATATGTCAATGTTTCTGTGCATTTTCTTGTCAAAAGGATTGAAGAATTTTTTTTGTTATTATGTCCTGTACATTTCCTTGTCAAAGTGCTTGAAGATTTTATTATGAATGAATCCCAGAATTTCTGTATACTGTTTGTTGTTGTTGTTGTTGTTGTGTATCATTGAACTGGAACCTCCAGTGGGTTTTCTAAGACAGTTAATCACACAGGAGGAGACTGTCCACCTTTTTCTTACAGAGTAGCTGACGGACTTAATGCTGTGTGTCTTGGGATTCCAGCACAGAAAGACTTTCTTGAAAATTCATTTCAAAAACACTTACTTTAAGGTCAACATTTAAAAGATTGTTGAAAATTTTCAGAGAAAGACAGATTTTTCAGTTATTCCCCAAAGTTTCAAGACTATTACAACTGCTAAATAACTAATGGCTTTGACTTGTGGGTTTCTATACATGACCTCCTCTCACTCCCACCCTTTATGAATAATTCCATAGCACTCCGTTCCTCTCTAATGGATTCTAAAAAGCATATTACATTTATATCACTCCTTAACAGGAGTAGTCAGACTAATGATTCCAAAGTCTAGGAACAATGGAAGTATACGATCTTCTTAATGATATTTTCAGGCTACAAATGTAAAGTAACATTTTTTATGTCCCTGTAAGAAGATGGCACTTGAATCTAACAGCTTTTCTCCTCCTTCAATTTTAATTATATAGGCAGGAAGGACACAGGCTTAATTCACTCTCCCTTGTGAAAATTATCAATGCTTCTGCAAGACTTTCCATTTAGTATCCATTTCCACACACTCAGTATTCACTTATTTTCCTAAGAAACATCATAGCCAACTGGTGAAACACAGTGCACATTCACCACTGACAGCTAAAGATTTGAGTCTGCACTAGAGAAGATGATCCTTATAACTATTTCATTGATTCTGTGGTTTCCTTGTTGGGGTACTAGGCTTCCAGGAAGTAAGCAGGGAAGATAAGGTACTCTGCTTCCCAGACTCAAAGGGATTCAGCAGCAGCAACAAGGTGGCACAGCTAAAGAAGGCTTTGACAATGGCTAATTTAGACATATTGCTAACTACTGCTAACAAAAATTTTAAAAACAATTGGCTATTTCTTGATAATAAACTCTGACTAACCATGAACTTCACCAAATCCTAATCCTAATCCTCACAAGATTCTATGTTCTATCTAAATACAATTGCTTACCTCAAGATAATCTTTGCTGCAGTCATCGTGGTTCTCCAGGCTCAAGGTCCCAAATGTAAATGTGATCAGGAGGTCAGGACTGGTTAAAACTTTCCAGACACAATCTCTTCCAGATGGATAGTTTCCAGGATATCCAGGAGATGTAATTGAGCCATAGGGACTGGTCAACACACCTCCACACTCTTAAACAGAGAGAAGAAATGACTTCACATTTTTATGCAAGATTGAATTCAGGTGGAATAATTGTATCTTTTACTGCTAGCAGCTGAGTGTCATCTAAATAAGTATGAGGAGTTATGGACACCTTTATTAATAAAACAAAACTCAGTTTTACAGTTTCATAAAATCATAAACCTAGAAGAACCAATAACTAAATAAATCAAATGTAACAATAAACAAATGTATTGAGCCTTGTCATTAAAAACTCTATTAACGTGATTTAAAATGTATGACTGAAAAATCTGAGGGATGAATAGCAATCACAACTGATGTCTAGCCAATGCTGACTCACAGCAATCCCTGTGTTGAAGAGAAGAACTATGATACATGGAATTTTCATGACCATGAAGCATGACCCTACATACCAGAGCCTGCCTGACCCTGTCCCGTCCTCACATTTCTGCTGTGCTTCAGGCCACCGAGACAGTCACCTTTTCAATTCATCTTCTTGACGGTCTTCCTTCTTTTCTTGGACCCTCTGCTTTCCCAAGCACGATTCCCTTTTTCCCCTGCCTGGGTCCTCCTGATAACACTCCAAAGTACACAAGAGGACATTGCATCATTCTTGCCTCTACTTTAGAGGACTTATCCTACCAGAGTTCAAGACTTCCTATAAAACCTGCCTAGGTAAGTCTAGGTGTCACAAGGATAGATAAAACAGACCACCACGAGAGAGAAGAAATACCAGAAATATATTCACAGATCTACTGGTGATGAATTGAGGTTTTGTGAACTGTTCACTCTACTTTTAAATGTTTAAATTTTTTTAATGGCTAAATATGATATAAAAAAGGAAAACCCTATAGTAGAACACAAAAAATGTAACAGAAAACAGTAAAGTATCAGGTAGTTATTAATATAAAGTCTATTCTTGGTGGTGCAAATGGTTAAGCATTTGAAAACTAATTAGGTTGGTGGCTTAAACACGTGCAGGAAACACGAGAAGCCATCTGTGGTTTCTGGTCAGTCTTGAAAACCCCTCTCTGCGCGTGTAGGATTGCTGAGATTGACTCAGTAGTGCAGCTAACAATAACAACAACAAGCTAAAGGAGTGTACAAGGTCCTCAACAATGTCTCTGCAGTAAATTTAATAGTTGTTGTTTCTGTGTACCATCAAGTTGGAACCCACCCACAGCTGACCCTCCAAAGGGTTTTCAGAGAAGTTAACTGAAAGGAAGGAGATTGCCCATCCTTCTCCTGCGGAGCAGCTGGTGCACTCAAACTGCCGGCTTTTTGGGTTACAGTGAAGCTTCTTGCCACTAGGCCACTAGAGCTCCCTAAATTTAACAGTAGAACTTAATAAATACAATTTAGTAACTTCATAAGGGATTCTCTAAGAATTGTTTTTTTAATCTCTGCTGTTTTCATCCTACTCTTAGTAGGTATGGGGGAATGAAATGCCAATATATTTTAGGTTTGATTTATTTTAAAATAATTATTAAAATACTGTGCATCACTGACTGTTGTTGTTAAGTGCAGTCGATTCATAGACGACTCATAGCGACCATAGGAACAAAAGACCTGCACACTTGTGTAACTTGCAGCATTTCTCTAGGTTCATAGAATTTCCAAAGGCAAGCTATTTCAGAATTGGATGCCACTCCTGCTTCCAAGCTTGTTTTACTAAAACCCAAAATATCTATTTTTGGATCAAGAAAATGAAATAATAGCAAGAGTTTGCTTTGCTTTGCTTTCTTTACCTGGTGGCCGTGTTTCCCATCTTACAGTAAAGCCTCTCTCATTTCTTAAGTGCTCAGAATAGAGATGAAAATAGAGAGCATTGTCACTGCTGACAAGTTCAGGAGGTGGGCTGGAGCCACAGAATCTTCCAAGCTGGAATCCTGCAGAGGATTCTCCATCATAAATCTGAAGAAACTCATGTGGACAGTTGTCCACTGAGTCTAATTTGAAAAAAGTGAAAATGATGTGCAAGACCTAAAAAAGACAAAGGCCAAAATATGTTCCTTTTTATTTGCATGTTCACTCTACAACATTTCACCCACTAACTAGGAATTATTAATATTTAATCACTTCCAACACTTTTAATCATTTTTAATTATCAACAAAATATGTGACAATTATACTGAAGAGATGACTATTTAAAATCTTAAGACTAAACTTAGCTGATGTTAAAATATATTAAGCATTTTATTGGTAGTGAAATACATTTACCTGTTGTTATTAGGTGGCATCAAGTCAACTACGACTTACAGTGACTCTATGAACAAGGGCTCTGCACTCTGCCCTGTCTCTCACCATCCTCCCATTTCTGCCATACTTGAGTCCATCTATTTTGTTGAAGATCTTCCTCTCTTATGCTGAACTTCCTCCTTTCCCAGCATGATGTCCTTTCCAACAACTGCCTCCTCCTAACACCACATCTGAAGTATGTGACATAAAATTTCACCATCTTTGTTTCTGAAAAACACCGTGGTTGCACTTTCTGCAATAAAGTCTAGTTTGTTCTTTTGGCCATGACGTATTTCACATTCTTCTCCAATACCACAATCAAAGGCATCGTCTATCATCCTTAGTCACTGTCTAAATTTCAGATACATAGGTAGTAACTGAAAAGATCATAGATTGTATAATGCACACCTTAGTCTTTAAACTGACATCCTTGCTTTTTAGCACTGTGGAGAGTACCCCTGACAGTAGACTTTCCAATGCAATATGTCTTTCGATTTCTTGGCAGCTGGTAATAAGAGTTAGTTGATTGTAGATTCAAGTAAGATAAAATAATTGACAACCTCAATCCTTTCTCCATCCGTCAAAATGTTGGCCATTGGCCCAGTGGTGATATTTTTGCATTCTTGATGTTGAAATGTAATCCATATTGAAGTCTGTAGTCTTTGATCTCCTACAACAAATGTTTTAAGTCCTTTTCACTTTCACTAAGCAAAGCTCTATCATCTGCATAAAACAGGTTGGTGATGAATTTCCCTCTGATCCTGATGCCACATTCTTCTTAATAAATTTACCTTTTTTAATTGTTTGTTCAGCATACGGATTGAATAATTATGAAGAAAGAACACAGTTCTGATGCACACCTGTTTGTTTGTTTGTTTTACTTTAACCTTGCATTGTTTCCTTGTTTTGTTTGGACAACAGCCTTTTAATCTAGGTACAAATTTCCATGAGCACAACTATGTGTTCCGGGATCTCAATATTAGCCATATTTATTGTCATCAACACAGTCAAATGCATTTGCATGATCACTAAAACAAAAATATACATCCTTCTGGTATTCTATCCTTTCAGCTAAGATGCACACGACATAAGCAATATCCCAGTTCTGTAGACTCTTCTAAATTCAGCTTGAGTTTCTGGCAGTTCGTTGTTGATAAACTGTTCTAGTAATTTTGGATCATTTTCAGCAATATTTTGCTTGCATGTGGTAGTAATGATAGTGTTCAAAAGTTTCTACTTTCTGCTGAATCATCTTTCATTAGAATGGGAACAAATATAAATCTCTTCCAGTCAGTGGCCAAGTAACTGCATTCCAGATTTCTTAGCAGAGCCACTGAGTACATCCAGGGCTGCATCTGTTGGTTGAAACATGTCAATTGGTATCCCACTTTTTGCCAGTGCTTTTAGTTCATCCTGAACTTCTTCCTTCATTTGTTCTTCATCAAATGTGATTTCCTTAAATAATTCTGCATCAGCCTTTTTTTTTTGCTACAATGATTCCGTGTATTCCTTCCGTCTTCTTTTGATGCTTCCTACATCATTCAAAATTTTGTCCATAGCGTCCTTTACTAATACCATTTAAGGCTTGAATTTGTTTTTCAGTTTTTACAACTTGAGAAATGTCAACTGAGTTCTCTTTTTATTTTCCAACTCCCGCTTTTTGCACATTTCATTATAATACTTTGCTTTTCTTCATGAGCTGCCCTTTTACCTTCTGTTCATCTCTTTTACTTTGGCATGTCTTCCCTTTGTGTGGATTCTAGACATTATAGTGCAATTTTCAGAATCTCTTTTGACATCCATTTTGGTCTTTTCTTTCTTGTCTTTGTAATGATCTTTTGCTTTCTTCCTGGATAATATCCATAATGTTACCCCATAATTCATCTACTCTAAGAGTTCATTAAATTGCCAAGTCTACTGAATGATGGAACTTCAAACTCAAAGTCTAGCTGGCAATATTTTTAAGTCCAGTAAAATAAGCTGGGCATTTAAAAATACCTTTAATTAGCTGGCTAAAATTACCAGTCATAATAATTTATTCCTTGATTACGGGATCACAGTGGTATGTACTATACACACAGATGCTCAGCACTGTTCCTCAGAGATGTTGATTTCATAGAATCAATGATGCAATCAGCACAATTGATCTACCCAGCCCAGACTGACAACTTGGAATGCTGACTTTTAGCTATGGCATTTATAAGGTCTCAATTTTCAGAAGTAACATTATCAGTAAACCAGAAGCTTCTGAGTATGGTATTACTCCTAGTGGCCTAATGTACATCAGATGGTAAAATGGAGATCCAGTATTTTCAATGATCTGTTTGACAAAAGTCAACATCAAGCCTTTCTTCTCATGAGACTCTAAAGAGACCTAAATGCCCAAACTTTAGTGAGCAGCCAATCAAATGTGTAATACCAAGGGTTGAGAATGGTAAATACTTTACAAAAGAAACACTTGGAAAACGTAAAAAGTACTGAGTATATAAAGCAGTTAATATACACACACATACACAAGCAAATGTATCTCAGAGTTAGCTAACATACTAACAACTCATTTAAAAAAAATAACCTTTAAGAGGCTGTAAAATTCTATTTGCATTATAACCTAGAAGCACAACAGAACTCAGCTAATGAAAAAAAAAAGTCAAGATATTTTTACAATACTTTGGGCATATTACCAAGAAGGATAAGCCCTTGGACAAGGGCATTATACTTGGAAGAGTAGAGCATCAGCGTAGGAGAAGATGACCTTGGATGAGATGGATTGACACAGTGACTGTGGCAATGGGGGCGGGTGTATTAGAGATGGTGAGACTGGCTCACAATAGAGCAGGGTTCAGAGCTATTGCTATGAAATCGTAGTCAGCAATGATACATAACAACATGTTAGGATAGTTTTTAAGATGTGGTACTCAATATGGCTTTTTTATCACCTTTGAAACAATCTCAATGAAAATCAAATATATACTCATGAATTGTTGTTGCTGTTGTTGTTATGTGCCTTCAAGTCAGAACCCTCAAGTGGGTTTTCAGAGGCAGTTAATTACATGGGAGAAGGTTGTCCATCCTTCTCCCACAGAGTAGCTGGTAGATTCAAACTGTGTGCCTTTAGGATTGCAGCATAAACTATCTAAATGTATAGAGCTACATTCATGTATCTATATGTTGTTTTGTGCCATCGAGTCAGAACGAACCCATAGCTGAACCTCTGGCAGGTTTTTGGAGGCAGTTAATCACATGGTAGGGGCTTGCCCATCCTTCTTCCACAGAGCACCTGGTGGATTCGAATTGTGTACCTCTGAGACTGCAGTACAGCTTCTTGCCACCAGGCTACCAGAGCTCCATTATGTCCGTAAGTTGTTGTTGTGTACCATTCAGTTGCCTGCAACCCATACTGACACTATATGTAGCAGATCTGAACCCTGTTCTGTCCTGAGCCAGTCTCACTAATTATGACACAACAACCCCCATTACCCCAGTTACTGTATCAATCCATATCATCCAAGGTTTTCCTCTCCTGTGCTGTCCATCCACCCTTCAAAGCATGATGTCCTTCTCCAAGGACCTGTCTCTCCTCTCCATGTGCCCAAAGTATGTGAGATGGACCTTTCACATATTAGCCTCCAAGGAGAAACTTGTTTTCACCCTTTCCAAGACTCTCTCCAAGAAATAGATCCAAAGATCTATTTGTTTTCTTGGCAGTCTGTGATATGTTCAAGACTCTTCTCCAGCACACAATTCAAAGACATTGATTCTTTTTCTGTCCTCCTTAGTTATTGTCCAGCTCTCTGACACATAGCAAGTAATGGTGAAGATCATGGCCTGGATTAGGCACACCTTAGCCTCCAGACTGACAGCTTTGCTTTTAAGCACTCTGGAGAGACCTCTGACAGCAGATTTTCCCAATGTAATTCATCTTTTGATTTCCTAATTGCTGGTGTTGAGAGTGTTGACTGTGGAGCCAAGTAAGTTGTAATTGTTAACAACCTGAATCTCTTCTTGATCTATCATGGTACTGCCAATTGGTCCTGTGGTGATAATCCTTGTTTTCTTGATGTTGAGCTTCAATTCATATTGAAGACTACAGTCCTTGAAACGTCAACAAGCAAGAGCTTCAGGTCTTCAGTTTCAGCAAACAAGGTTGTGTCATCTGCATAACATAGGTTGTTGATGAGTCTTCTTCCAATTCCTCCTCATAAAGACCTGCTTCCCAAATTATCTGTTCTGCTATAGTTTTTTAAAGGGTATGGAGACAGGGTATACCTATATTTTACCTTAAGAAGGAAAGAAGATACAGAACCATAATAATCAAGTGAAAAAAGCCATACATTTTCTTACATCTAGTGGAAGAAATAGTTAAAATTGTAAGTATAAGAATTTTACTCAAGATAAAAATTCTTTTCTAATGTCAGTAAATAGAATCCATGGAATTTAAGTAGAAATGTATCTTGTACAGCCACTGAGAAATTTTGTTTAGAGTTTATTCTATTGTAAGGTTATCATACCCCAAAACATCTTCCTCCCTCAAGGGGGAAAAATATTGTTTTCTGACTCTTTTACAGCAATCTCTATAGTAATTATTTGTTTGGAAAAATCTCAGAGTTTCAAGGTACAACATTATCTATTCAGATATAGTACTTCATTTTACTGAGTCCAATTGTTTGTAGAGAAATAATTCTTTAGAAAAGTCTGAATAATTAATGGCAGGAATAAAAGCACTAGAACACGTAGGCTCAGATGTTATTTTGAAAAAGGTTCAAGGGTTACTTTGTAGTGGCAGTTAAAAGGGCAGACTCTGAAGTAGAATGACCTGGGATGGTGTCACTGCATGTCATTCACATAAATCAAAAGGACTTGCACACATTTTTCAGCTTCTCAAGGTTCTATTTCCTCATTGTAAAACTAGGATAATAACTCATATCTTTTATTAGTGTTAGAGTAAAAATATCATATAGCATATATGAAATGGTACTTAACATATGGCATAAATAAGACAAGTGTATCATCTTAATGTCGGTCTCTTATATAACTAACACACTACTGAATTAGCATTTTTATACATGACCAGCTCAGTAGCAACATGACTTTACAAATTAACTCCTGGTCTACAGTCTGGTATTGACAACCATTTTATTCATACAGACACAGCATGATCTTTGAAGCCACAAAAACTTGTCTCTGAAGTCCAAGTATCCAAATGCAATCTAAGGAGTGTTTTTAAAATCACTTAGATTTTCTTCGTTTCCTTTATTTCATCTACAAAATTAAGATACTGCAAATGATTTCACAGAGTTAGTAAAAGGTTAGTGAAATATATATTAAATATCTGATCCAAACTCTGATCTTTGCTAAAGTATTCAAAAGATGACTATTACCTGCACGGTGCCTAGTGCTCACACACGTGTAATATTCATATATATAAATGAAAGGTGTGACCGCATCATTTACCTTTCCTGCTTCAGTTCGGATAACCCAGAAGCAGTTAACATCATGAACGAAACTGGTATCAGGACTCTTGTAGCTGAAACTTCCGTTCATCCCTGACAGTGATCCACCACAAACTGCGAAAGGAATAGGAGATGTACTTTTCAGACACTACCAGGCAGAAGAGACTAAGCCAGTCTAGCTGTGTGTGAAATATCTAGAAGGTCTGAAAGTTTAATGTGGGAAGACGAGGTATCATGGTCCCTTCTCTTTCTCACTCTCCTACCTTTTCCTTGACTTTCTTCCATCTCCATTTTCTCTGACAGTTACCCTCTACACTTCTGACCTTCTTTGATCTGATCTCCAGTTCTCATATCTTCTCTGCTATTCTGAATTAATCTGGCTTTCTCAACTGGAAGATAAGTAATGAAAAAATGAACAAAATATCCCAATCCATAGCTGACCTTTCCTCCATAGCTGACCTTTCCTCAGAATAGATTGTGGATTCGAACCAGCAGGAAAACCTCTGTCTTTGGGCTAGCTGCACAGTTCACTTCAGACTATGCCACCAGAGCACTCTTGAGCATATAAAAAGTATAGACAATATTTTATACTCCCATACTACCCTACAAGCTCAGCCAGTGTCCTAAATGAGAGATCAATAATGATGTGTTTATTCAGAACCATAGGTAATAAAAGAGGGGTGCTGTAGTTATATGAGGCTTTATAAAGAAAGATGAGTGTGTTGTACTCCTATGGAAGAGATACGCTTAAGTGGAAAGAAAGAACTTGGCCGAGAAAAAGATATCTCAAATAAAGAAATTCAGCAGGAATACACACATACACACGACATGGGTGACACAGGGGGTCAGAAGCGTGATTTGGGTATTAGAGAGCAATGATGTCAGTCTAGAGACCAAGATGTGGCTGACCTAGGCCTTGGTCTTTGCAATTCCTTACTTACAACACATCAGAGAGCTGGGCGATGAATAATGATGACAGAAGAATTGAGGCCTTTGAGTTATGGTACTAGAGAAGAATATTGAACATACCATGGACCACAAAGAGAACAAACAGGTCTGTCCTGGAGAGAGTGAAACTAAGCTGATCCTTGGAAGCAAGGATTTTGAAGCTGCATCTCACATACTCTGGGGCATGTTGCCAGGAGGGACCAGTCCTTGAAGGAGGAAATGCTTGGAAAGGTCGAGGGACAGCTTAAGAGAGGAAGACCCCAGATGAGATGTAGTGACACAGTAACTGGGGTAATAGGTGTAGGTGTGTCAGAGACAGTGAGATTGGCTCAGGATAGGCCAGCGTTCAGAGCTCTTGTGCATAGGGTCTCTATAAGTGACAGGTGATTCAACGGCAAAGAACACTACCACCAAAAGGTGCATAATAAGGTTAGATTGGCATAGGGTGAGATCCAGTTGTAGAAAATATTTAAAATTAGCCCCAATCTTCATTTAAAAGATAATATTATCAGTAAAAGAGAGGAAGATCCTCCATGAAACGAATTGACAAAGTGAAAGAACAAACTTGAGCATAGCAGATGTGATGAGAATTTCACAGAACAAGGCAGAGTTTTATTCGTTGTACACAGTCACTATGAGTTAAAATTGATTCAAAGGCACTTAACAAGTTAACAAAAAGGAGAATAACAATTTAGGTGTTATATTCCTAGGAACCTAAATTGCTACTATATACAGCTCTCCCTTAAAAAATTATAAAGGAGACTATCCTAGCACATTTTATTTTTCAGAAGGTAGATAATGAAAATGTCAAATAATTATTTCACTCTTTTGAAGAAAACGTTCTTTGGCTTAAACGGAAATCGTTACATTTTTATTTTTTTACATCTATCTATAATTTCTGTGAAAAAAAGACTTTAAAAAGTAATTGATCAAGTGGACAAGAAATTCTATTTCACAGAAGAATCTGCTGTTTTAAAGTGACTGTCAGTCAGCCCCAACTTATAGCAACCTTATTCACAGCAGCATGAAACCTTGCTCATTCCTGTGCCATGCTCACAATCTATGCTGTCCTGGAGCCCACTGTTGCAGTCACTGCATCAATCCAGTTCACTAAGGGAAGGGCCTTCCTCTTTGTGTCTGACCCTCTACTCTGGTGGCCTAATGGGTAAGGAGTTGTGCTGCCAACCCAAAGGCAGGCACTTCAAATCCACCAGATGCACTGTGGGAGAAAGATGGAAAATCTCATGCAATTGATAGCCTCCAAAAATTCAACGGAGGCTCAGCTACATGTAGATTCTAACTCAGTGGCACCTAACAACTGCTTTTCTAAGAACAACTGATGTTCTTTTTCCAGGGACTCTCCTGATAACATGTCCAAAGAATGTGAGACAGAGTTTCACCATCCTCCCTTCCAAAGCATTCCAGTTAACACTTCTTCCAAAACAGATTTCTTCATTCTTTTGGCAATTTATGGTACATTCTGTATCTGCAGAACTCATTAAAGGTTAATGCTCTAAGGTGGTGAACATTTGTGCTATATTAGGGGCTCGCGTTACCTTGCTGGGAAATCTGACAGTGTAACCCAGTCCAGGCACTGGTGCATTCACAGCTGTAAGCATTAACGCCGTCAACACAAATTCCCCCGTTCAAGCAGGGGTTGCTCAAACACTCATTGATGTTTTCTGTGCAGTTGACACCGGCCCAACCTGGATCACACTTACAAAGATAGCCAGAGACGGTTTCCTATGGAGGCAAAAAACACACTCCCATGTAACAATAACCTAAAATCTGAGAAATTCTCTCTCAATGTCTTCAAGTCATAACTGGCTCATAGCTGACCCACCAGTGGGACTCCAGAGGCTGTAAGTGGCACAGTCGGAGATTGTCCATCTTTCTTCCTCAGAGCCACTGGTGGATTTGAACCACCAGAGAGGCACCATCACAATGGGGTCAGAAGTGCAACTCTCTACAACTTGACCACCACGCCCAAATCATTCATAAGTATATTTTCCAGTATCCCAGCTTATACTAAGTTTAAATTATAATTGCTAAAAAGTTACATACATATATATATCTCAAACTGTACTCACAAGTTTGTAAATCACAGAGAGAAAAGGCAGGGGTGAGGATCTAACAAACAACAAACAGTTAACTCTAATTTTTTACTGGAAACTAAACTTACTGCCTTTTATTTGACAGTTATTGATGATTTCTTATCTTATAACCTTATTTTCATGAATAATAAATAATTAAAAATACAGAAAAATGTATTTCCTGGAAGTCAAAATAACATTATTCTCAAGTACTCCATTTTTCAAGAACAACAAAAGACTTACAGTGCACTGTCCATTTAAACAGGGGTGACTGAGGCACATATTACTGAGCTGTACACATCCATTTGGCCCATAACCATTTCCTGTGTAGCCCAGGGGACAGGTACAGAGAGGTAAGGAACCTGGTAAGAAATAACAATGTAAATGTCATTATAGGCCTTTTCAGTGCAGAGGAATAACTAAAATTCTGCTGTCTAGACAAAAAAAGAAAAATCTTATCTCTGGGGTACAGACAAGATAGACAAGTTGATGGGAAAGACAATACTGCAATCTCCATTTTTCCATTTGTCAGTTCATATGTCAGAGGATCATGTGCTGGGAACAAATCAGAGACATCCCAAGGGAAGAGGAGAGTTCAGGTGGCAGCAGCAAGAGTATTATTTCTGTAATGCCACTATCGCTTACAAACTTATAATAACTCGTTTCATTCTCTCTCATACGCACACACATACAACCAGTTGCCTTCAAGTCAATTCTGACTCAATCATCCTATATGACAGTGGAAATTCCCCCAGAGTTTCAAAGACTTTAAGTCTTTACAAATGCAGACTGTAAAACTACTAGTGAGTTTAACCTGCTGACTTTTTAGTTAGCAGCCAAGTGTCTAATCACTATATCACCAGAGGTCATTTTAATGTTTTCAAGTGCCTTATGAATAGGCATTATTGTAATCTTTATTTTAGAAGTGAAGAACATGGAACAGAGTCTGACTAAAAGTCTTGAGCAAAGATATACAATTAGAGTGTATCAAAAAGCTAGTAGAAAACTTCATACCAGAAGCCTTCATATGCAAAGAGCAAGGAGCCAGTAGTACCTTCATATATAAAGTGCTTTGAGCCTATCACAAAGATTATAGTTTTTATGGGCAATGTTCATGCTCCCAGTTAAGTGAATAAACAGAGTACCTACTATCTAGTAGCCATCACAATTAATTAGAGGCAACAACATTTATCCTTTGTGTCTATCATCACATTATAAGCTTAAAAACAATGACAATCTAATCAGACAGAAAAATAATTTGGTTTAAAAAATAGAGACTTTTTTTACTCTATGTGATACATAGATAAATACCCACTATTAACTATGGACCTCATTGTAAATATATAAGCATAAGATAACAGGTAAAAATATATGACAGTATGTGTCTCTACACTTCTGGGTTATGGAAATTTTTTTCAAATAATATTGAAAATAAAAATACCTCTTGTATTGCACAAAATTTTCATTAGGTTTTCTAAAGCTTTTAAGAGATCCTAATGCCAAAAGTTATATGTTGTTGTACTTGAATACTATCAAGTTGGAATCAACCCATTGCTAACCCTTCTGTGGGTTTTCAAATGCAGTAAATTTCCCAGGAAGAGACTACCATCTTTCTCCTGAAGAGCAGCTAGTAGACTTGAACCATGTGTCTTCAGATTGGCAAGACAGCTACTTACCACTAGATGCTGCAGACCGAGGGTAAAGTATTTTTATAAGTATTAATAATTAGACAGAACACCAAGAAAGCAGGAGAAAACAGAGGTGAAGCAGGAGGTGAACAGTTCTGGAACAACTGAAGCAAGTCGAAGTTCTGACCTTAGCTTCCCTGTGTCTTTATTGAACATTGTCAGGGAGCAAACCACCAAGAAAATTCAATGCAAATGAAGCTAAACTCTTTCTATTGAAAACCTTCTGCTTGGCTCAGGAGGGAGGAGTTAGCAATTACAATTACAATGCAAGACTCCTGTAAATGTTTAAGAATTACCTTAGTGTCTACCCTTGTAAACATTTAAGGATTGCCTTAGTGCTTCAGGGTGAATTCCAGCTTGTACCATGCCTCTCTCACATCCTGAAATGGCATTGGTTTATTTCAAATATTTAGTATGAAATTTGGCTTCCCATAACTAGGCAACCAGAGCTCCCTGAAAGTCATGTATTATTGAACAAATAATTGTCTAAATACAAGCTCACTGTCCCCAACTCACAATGACCCTTCATCACCCTTCTGAGCCTGGAAACATCACTGAGAAGAAATTGCCCATCTTCCTTCCTCAGAACAACTGGTGGAATCAAAATGTTAGAAGTGTGAGGCCTTTTGTTCGTCAGTGCAACATACTAGAGATATTGACACCGCAGTTTATAAATTCTTTTTATTACTGTAACATTATTAAAATATTACACAGAAAGGCAACATGAAAACAAACTGCAGTGCATTCCTTGATCAGAAAATAAATGTTGAAAATTAACAGGAAATCTTGCTAAAGATTTAAAGAAATAAGTAGAACAGATGATGCAATAGAGAAGATATGCAATTATAAATAGATGGATGGTAATATAGGTGTTTTTCACAACTTTCTTAATTAGGCTATAATAGTAAATAAAGCATAGGGACATTAATAATAATAAAATATACATCCATAGAAATACATAGACATCCTTTTAAATGTAAATGCTTACCAGAAGATGTGTTTTTGACAGTTAATTATTTCTTAAAAAAAATATTTATGCAGGGAAATGAAATAAGTAATGTTCACTGCTGTAGTTATGCCTGGAAAATTTTAAAAGCTCTTGGAGTAAACCCACAGGCCAAAAACACTATAAAATAAGTGCTACTATCTTTCCATTTTACAGATGAAACTAAAACATGGGCAGACTAAGTCTCAATCATAGGTTATTCTTAATTACACAGCTGGAGGATTGAGCCAGGAGAAACTCTAGGAATCTTGTCTCCAGAATCTACTGCTGTTAATCATTTGATAGTCAAATAATAGATGTTGCTGTTGCTAATGTGCCATTGAATCAGAACTGACACCGGGTTTTCAGAGGCTTTAAATTGTACAGGGAATTAATTATTGCCCATTTTTCTTCTGTAGGGCAGCTAGTGGGTTCAAACTGCCTGCCTTTGGGTTGGCAGCACAACTCACTACCACTAGGGCCACTAAAGCTCCCAAACAGTAAGAAGTCACAAGTTTATACACATATGTCTCTCTCTCTCTCTCTCTCTCTCTCTCTC